GCCTCGATAAAAAAAAAAAAAAAGAAATAGATTCTGCATCCACTGAACTTCTGCCTTACTGTTAAATCGAGGATTTCTTGCCAAGAAGTTTGAATCGAAGCTGTAACACTTATTTTCCCTTGACTCTTCCAGCCAGCGCTGCTGGCAGAGATGCCATTCGGAACAGCAAGGGGAGGCAGGGCTCGGTGCCGATGCCACGCTGGCAGAGGCAGGCTGAGGAACTCGGAGGTTGTATATGCAGATGTTTGAGACGTCTGCCCATCTCCCGAGGAACTGGCACTGCAGGCAGGCGGCCTGGGCTCTCAGTCGCTGCCAAAACCCGGGCTTCACCATTACAGCTCTAGTCTTTCAAAGCCATCTTTTTGCGAGTCTCCGTCCCCCACCCTGTCACGAAGCGGGCTTGACCTGAGGGAACCTGTCACCTCCTACCTTCCAGACTTGGTGAGGACAATAATGGCCCCGCTGCAGCACTTGAAGGACGCTTCCACAGCGCCAACAGCGGCGGCCTCCGTGGGATCACAGTTCAGAGAAGTCAGACGACGCAGTTCCTCAAACAACTGCCTGTGAAAGATGGCGGCTTCGGCCTCCCGGGCAATCTATAAGAGCAACACGCATTCGGGAAGACAACACTCACGTCAGTCGCTCGGGGCAGCACAGGGTAAGGCGAGGTGCTCTATCAGCAAGGTGTCACACAAATGCCGTCAGCTTTTGACAGTAAGAGTTACCAATTAGCAAGCCCAGATTTAGTTCCACACGCTGGGGTGATGGCCGCAACACTCAGCCACCCAAACAGCGCAGCCTTACAGAGGAACCATTCGATTCTCAAGGTTTCTTTTCTGAATTGGTGGCACCTACCGAGTCACCTCGCCCCGCCGAGCCCACACTCAGGTGACATTCATGCCAACTGCCAGGCACTCTCGCTCTGCTCCTGCCTACCTGGAGTCCCTCCCTGCCACAGAGATGAACTCAACTCAGACTGCAGCGGTTACGCAAGGCTGATACCGTAGCAGCAAGCCGCTTGCTAAATATTTGCAGTGTTAGAACGGAGCGTGTTTTTACTCATAGTAACGACTGGCGTCAAGCACCCTCTCTGAGCCCTACCTGCCAGACTCGGTCAGAACTATCAGGGCTGGAGCTAAGCACTTAAAAGAGGCCTCCACTGCGCCTAGTGCCATGGCATCAGCAGGGTCCCTGTTGTTAACATTGAGGCGGAAAATTTCTTCAAACAGCTGACGATGAAACATTGCGGCCTCAGCCTCACGAGCGATCTGCAGGCCCGAGTAAGAGGAAAGGAGGAGAAAAGAGGAAAGAAAAGAAGGAAAGATGTACCAGAGTAACATGAGATCACGTTAATTTGCTTAACTGTCACAGTAATGCATGCAAGAGGATATTAAAGGTCAGGCTGTGAAACTCTTTTTGGCTCTCAGGTTGTGAGTCTACTAAATGCAACCCAGTCTAACACGCCGCAGCCACGCTGGCTGGTCCACCAGGCCGTTTACCTGGCAGGCCCCGGTCAATGGGCAGGCATTTCAAAGGTGGCATTCTTGCTATATTTTGGATTCCTTTCAGAGCAGGCAAACGCAGATTGCTTTTCAAGGACCAGAGCAAGCCAGCTCAAGAGTCAGACCGCACTTTGTTGCGGCTGCTTATTACTTCCTTGAGGGACTCTCATGCCACCTACCAGCCTGCTGATGGTCCTGCCTGCAATTCCTCAAGAGGAAATCCGTGCAGCTCCATGTCCCCCCTTCATACTCTCCCAGTGCCACACAGCACTGCTGGAACGGTCTTCATGGAGCCAACATGCAAGCAATGCGCTTTCAACATCACCCCTGAAGTTGGGAGACTGCCTCTCTCAGCTTCATTGGATTTAGTTTAACATGAGAGCCAGTAAAGATTTAGTTTAACTTGAGAGTCACTAAAGATTTAGTTTAACTTGAGAGCCTAAAGATTTAGTTTAACTTGAGAGCCAATGAAGTTTCACCTCCAAGTGCTGTACCAACTTCCTTTTCGGTAATAGAGAAATAAATAGGAACAAGTCTTCCTTATAGGGTTGTCACATGTATGTTGGGGTGTTTGTACAGTGCCAGACTTGGACAGACGAGAGGTACAGAGGCACAACTAAGGGCTTTCTGTTCAGTCTAAGCATCTGCAACAAGTTCAGTAATCTGTTCATCCCAGTACGCTGGGAATTACTCACATTTAAAGACAAATCTCACCTCAGAAGGCTGCATTAGCCTCTGACAACCCGATAAAGAAGGCTTGCAGAGACTAGAAAAGCACGCAAAGGTTGATCATCTTTTCAAGGATAACTTCATCCAGTTACTCCAGAAAGTGAGCAGCCGCTACACAAAGGATGACGAGTTGATGTTTAAGCAGAGACTGAAGTGCCATTATAGTGAAAGCTTTGTAGTTAGACCCCTTCCAAATAAGAGTTCTGCTACTCTAGCGTTAATGAATTATTTTATGTGATGCTAGGAATTATCCCTCTTCCACAGATATCAGTTTAAGCCAAAGTAGTTAAGTATCTTATGTCTAAAAATAACAGGACGCATGTGACAGGCAGGAACAGCAGTCCAGTGCCAACTCTGGTCCTAAAGCAGTCAGTTTTGTTACTGCTGGCTTTACACTTGCCATTAGATAAAATGGAAGTATTCGCCTCAAAATACTTACTGCAAACGCAAGAGCTGGTAGCCAGGCAGTTTATCTTCAAGCTCCTGGTCCAAAGGCAGGCAGCTCTGCATAACACGCAGAGTGAACCCGAGTTTAGAGGGAAGCCTGCATCCCCCAGTTGTAAGAGAATATGTGTATACGCGTGTCTGCTTTGACAGTGGCTGCAGAAGGGCACAGCAACTCTTAACTCCACATCACAGCTGGCTTTACTCATACAGAAATGGCTAGAGGGTTTCCAGTTGGTACGCAGGTGGAGATACCAGGGTGGAGGTGGGAGAAAGGAAAACGGAGCGGCTATTTAAACCTTGGTCCCGTTAGACAGCATGGCCAGGGCGGCATTTGAAGACAACTGCGGATCACGGACTGGAATTGGAAGGCAGCCCACTCCCACAAGCAGGAAACAGCCTGCCCAATATTTGGAAGCTTGCTACTAAACCCGAGGCACATGGCATTTTTGTCACAGCGGTGCCAGCTACTGAAGAGCAAGCTCCAGCTAGCCTCGCAGAAACGAAAGGGATCGCTAAGCGAAACCCCTGCAGAGTCCCAGCAAAGCTGCTGTGACAGGTCGTGGACAGACAGGTCAAGTCTCTTAGAGAGGTGCAAGGATACTACATAGCACAGACCCTCATCATTCTCAGCATTACAGCCCACGTTTGCTGTCTGCACCTCACTACAGAGGGAGCTTTACTTGGAATGCTCCTGTAGCAGCACTGGATAAACAAATATATAAACCCAAACTGATACCAATTTCAGGCCAGAGAATGAATAAAGGAGCCGCTCTTTACCAGAGGCAAGGTGCTCTCTCCCTGCTATGACCGCTTGGCCACTTCAGATGGAAATATTCACCCACTCTGGCCATGCTGCAGATATTCAGACCGTGGTTATTCAGGGCACTATTGCTGGGCAGGGCTTCTCTCAACTAACAGCAAGTGAATTAGCTCAGATGACAGATCCTGACTGTAGGTGGACGTGCTCCTACCATCACAGAGTTGGCAGCTTGCTGCCTGTGCCACGTTACATTAAATGAAGTGAATCTGTATTTGCTCCTCTGCCCGGAGGGTTAAAGCCTTCAGTATTTCTGCAGGGGCCTGGCAGAGCGACCACCGCTATTCCCAGGTCTGCAGGAAGAGGGAAGCACATGCAACGGATCCCAAGCTCAGGCTCCAGGTACAATACTACCTGCCTGAGTCTAAGAATTAATGCCAGAATGGAAACCCAGGTGTAAGGTTTGCTGCAGCAAGTTTCCAACTCTCGGTAGAAAGTCAACCCTCGTGATTTAGGGGGTGAAAACTGAGGAAGAACCTTTCGGGTGCACCGTTGGCGTTCAGCCTGTAAACCAGCAGTCACTGCCCAGTAATCATCAAGTCATATTTTGCATTTGCCATGTGCAAAAACACACCACTCCATATTGACCAGGTAAAGTTAAAAGATATTTACATAATGCACTGCAAACAAACACTAGCTGAGTTGATTAATCTATATAACCTGAATTGCAAATAAAACTGGTGAGAGTTATAACTGGTGAGTTATCACTGCTGTGATTCACAGCACTGGTAACTGGGGAGAAGCAACACTTGTAGATACTTGACATCAGGCTTTTTATCAGCTGAAATGCGAGCTGGGTGAACTCGAAGCAGAGCAGAGGTTTCTGGCAGTTCAGGCATGTAAAAATACGGTGCTGTCAGTACTCGTGCAACAGACACCCCCAACACCAAGCGCACCAGGTGCTGAATGCCACGGTGCTGTAAATCAGACTCACAAGCCTCCCCCCGCCCCCCCGAGGAGTCAGCCGATACCTTTCATTATCTAGAGATAAACTGCTTAAGCAGCTCCTTGACCTTGGAGAAGTTTAAGGCATTTAATATGCCAAAATGAATAGGGTATTTGGAGAAACTCATACCAAGGTAACAAAACAAAATTAATATGAGAAATCTGAAGTTTTAGATGTCAGAGCACTGCAGAGCAGTTCTCGGCTCTGCCCGACAATCGTTTGGAGCACACAAAGTGAGGTTTCAGGCCCTCAGGACCATGCTAAGTAAAGAAACAC